ACCATGATCCCATCCTAGAGTCTCCATGAACAAAGAGCCACACTGTGCAGATGAGGAAACTGAGGACCAGGACATGAAGAGACTGGCCCAAGACCATTCAACTTCTCCCTTCTAGCTTCTCCTTTTGTTCCGGAACTTCTCTGAGTAGTTTTGGGGGCAGGGAGAGCAGAAGGGACCAAGGCTGGGAATAAATCACTTGTCCTAGGACTCACAGCAAGGAGTAGGGAGATGGGGGCCTGGGTTCCAGCCCCCCACTCACCAATGCTCCGCACTCACCAATCCCTCGACTCAGGCCACCATGATGTACCTTAGCTGGAATGGCAGATAGGCAAGCTGGGGAGAGCCCTAGATCAGAAGGAAGATCTGCATTTTTCTCCCAGCTTGGAAGATTTGCCCTGGGTCTTTCTGGCCTCATTTCCCCCATAGTGAAAAGAGAAGGTCTGAATAGATCAGGAATGACAAACACATGACACATATAAAATAGTCTCTAATCCTCTGCCCACGGCAGGCATTACTAATCTATCACTGCACTCTTTCCCACAAAGTTGAGTCTGGACCTCAGAATGCTTTTCAACGCAACATTTCAAGTCGGTGGGATTTAAGTTCTGAGCCAAAACAGGGCTGGATGATATATCTAAGCCAGAGAAAGAAAGAGAAGAAAGAAAAAACGATGTAAGATTTATTGAACATCCATGGATTCAGGCCACTGGGATTCTGTTAGCACGTTTAATTCTCACAAAGGAGGTAACTGGAGGCAGAGGTTCACAGAGGCTAAGTGCCTTGACTTTGGACTTTCAGCTGGGAATGAGGCTAGAACACAGGGGCAAGGCCAGCCACCAGGTAAAGCTAGAGCTTCCCCTCCTCCCCTTGTCCTGTGAGGTACAAGTCCCATGCACATTGCCAGTTTCAGAAACTCAATCCCAGGAAGGCCCCTCAGTGGCCAAAAAAGGAAGGACCTCAGCTCATGTCTAGCACTTCCCCAACTCTATTTATTGAGCATCTAATTTGTGCAAAGTACTTTATTTCTGTCGCTTCAGGACACCCTGGGACCCATGATTCACTATTCCACTTCTTGGATGAGGAAACTGAGGCCCCACCAGAGGAAGTGCCTCCCTCCTCCCCTGTTCAAGTGGAAACCAGAGCAGTTTCCCAGGGAGATAAAGGGAGTGGGAAGGAGGAGGAGCAGAGGGGGAAGTAAAAGGCTGTGGGAACCCAAGAGAGAGAGAAGCAGGGGCCACAATCAGAGGCAGGAAATGAGGCTCTGGTCAAAGGCCCAGAGCCGGGAGTGGGGCCTTCACAGGACCTCTGAGGCCTGCAGGGACCTGGGCAGCCCTAGGGAATCCCCAGCACTGTGGCCTAGGCCTGGCCCTGTCACTTGAGAGACAAGTGGCTTTTCCTCTCTGGGCCTTAGTATTTACATCTGGAAAACACGCCCAATCTTACCTCCTGTAGGCTCTCAAGAAGCTGAAGAGGCCTGGACTGTGGCACGCTCCCCAGTTCAGCCTTCTCTCTCACAGAGAAGGCTCAGGGAGGGCAGGGAGGGACTCAAAGTCAACCAGCACATTGGTGACCTTAACTGCCAACGTCCTCTCCTAGACCAGCCCTTCGGATTCAGTGAGATCATCCATTCAAGGCTGTGACCACACAGCTGGCGAGGCCATAAGAAATGCCAACCACCCTGCCCAAGGTAACACAGCCAAAGAGGGGCCCATTTTCTGAGAATCTACTGGTGCCAGGCACTGGGCACAGAGCCCTTTTTTAATCCTAACCTGGAAGGAAGATACCTGCTGCCCCATTTTCAAGATGAAGAAACTAAGTCTCAGAAAGATAGTGAATGACCCAAAAATGCCAGCAGGTGGGACAGTGAGAACTTGAACCCAGGCCCATCCAACTCACAAGCACTTATGTCTCCCTCTCTCTGGCTGACCCTCCCTGCTCCTCACCTCACTCCCAGCTTCCAGCTCCCCCTCGTTGCACTTCCCTAATCTCTGGTCCTCATGCTCTCTGGCCTTCCTGCTGTTGAACTCCTACTTCACCTTAAAAGCCCAGCCTCACATGCCTTCTCCTCTTGACACCTGGTTAGGCCCGCCCACACATCCATTTTCACAGGTGCCTTAGTCAGCTCTGGCTCCCTGCCCTCCACTTCACTTCCAGCAGCCCCTGAAGAAGCTGACTAGGGCTAGACCATGGCCAGCTCCCCAGCATAAGGCTGTTCACACAGAGGATACCAATCAGGCCCTGTGTAAAGATGGCACCAAGCTCCTCCCCAAAGCCTGGGGCCTCCCCCAGGTCCTGCCCTGCTGATAACAATACGTGGCCTTACCTCTCACTCCCTCCCTCCACTCTGTGCCCCAGCCTCATAGGCTTCCCCATGTTTCTCCATCACAGCACACATTTCTCCACTCAGGGCCTTTGCACACATGCTCCCTGCGGCCTGGCCAGCCTTGCCCTAGCTTCATGGCTGGCCAACCCCTCCTTTCTTCCTTCAAGGTTCCCCTGTTCCCAGGCCTCTCTCTGAGCCCTTATGTCATCCAGGATTGTATATTAATTTGTCTTGCAATTTGTTTGCTACTTGACTACAGATTCAAACTTCTAGGAGGCCAGGAGCCTGATCACAATTTCCCAGGAAGTACCCACTGGACTGACCGCTGCCCACAACCCCAGGATCCCTGAGAAGTAACTGGGGGTAGGGGGCACCGCACTGGCTCCAGATCTTTGCTGCCTGGGCAGCTGCTCTGCTCAGTTCAGGTACCACCTCCAGAAAGCCCTCCATGCCTCTCCCACCCCCTTGCCTCTCCCACCCCCTTGCTGACCCACCGAAACACTACTCAGCCAAGTTCAGAGCTTCTGTATTCAGCAGGCCCAGTGCTCAGTCACAGGTGCCTGTATCTAGGCAGGTCTGGGAGAACAAGGTCAGCAGAGGATCAGGACTATGAGTGGGAAGGGGTCATCCGCAGGCCACTGAGCCACATCCTCCCTGGCTCCTGGGCTTGGAGAGGGAGACATTCCCTACCCAAGAGTGAAAATCAGGCAGGAAGTTAAAGCAAGAGCTAGGCTGTGGGCTGGGGACGACTCATGGCCCCAGGAGAGCCCAGGGAACAGGAGGAGATGTGGAGCAGGCTCGTGCTGGGAGAGCCCTGCCTCAGCCAAGCCTGGATGGGAGGGCCGACATGGGGCTCAGCGGCTCCCAGCGGGCAAGGCTCTCCTGGCAGACCTGATTGGGCAGAGGGGTGCACTGGAGGGCCAAGGCAGGCAGTCAGCTGAGAGAGGTGACATGCAACAAGTCACTTCTGAGGGTGGAAAGACCACATCACCATAGCACACCACATCCCCAGAAAGGCCTCATGGCTTCTATCAACCACGCAGCAGTAGAGTCTTCTCTGATACTGTCATGTGCCTGTCCCAACCTAGGCAACCATCGCAACCAAGGGCAGTCAGACGGGCAATCTGAGGCCTGGGTACTAATTCCAGCTTCCTACCTTGGTGAAGTCACTTCCCTTCTCTGAGCCTCGGTTTCCTCATCAGTAAGATGAAGATAGACAAGAGTCCCTGCCTCAGTTTCTTCATCAGTAAGACATGGATAGACAAGAGTCTCTGGAGTGATGCCTGCAGCTATTATCACTATTGCTCCATTTTAGACTTCACAAAACTGAGGCCGGTGGAAGCAGCAAGTTGCCTAGGGTCACATGGATGTGGGTGGCAGGGTGGTGTCATGGCTATTTATTTTTCAAGGAGTTCTGGGGCACTTTTCTGAGAACTAGCCCATCCTCTTCTGAAAAGGAGCTCCAGTGCTGCCAGCAACCTCACACCCTACCCACCTTGGGCAATTCAGCCAGTGCAGGACTGGCTGGCCGAGCACCTACTACACACCATGTCCCTAGATGCATATGCACATAGAATCTTCACCTGAGAAGCCCCATTTCACATATGGGGGTGCCAAGGGGTAGTCCCTTGGCCACCATCACCCAGAGAAACAAAAAGCCTAGGTTTCTTCACTCTCCTTCACTTCACCTCTCTGGGGCAGAGCCAGCCTGGCCCCCCTGGAAATCAAGTCTGATCTCAGCTGCACTGTGGCTGGCCCTGGCCTCATCAGGTGACCCAGGTGACCCAGGGACCACTGTCCCAGTTGGACACAGGCCATGAGGCTCAGCCTTGCCCAGGGCCCCACAAGCCCCTGCGGCCACTCTCAAGTCCAGCTGAAGAACACAGGGGCCCTGTGCACTTCCTTGGGGCCCCTTAGATCCACCTACACTGGTGGGCACCATGGTTCAGAATGGACAAACTGTGTCTGAGGACACACAGGCTGGCAAGTGGTGGCCAGGTAGGGACTCAAACTCATGCATAGCTCCTGTCCAGGTAAGCCAGTGGACCTGGCTTGGGGGTGAAACCCAAAACTTTTGCCAATTTCTGATCCAGCCAGTGGCTGGGCCTGCTCAGGGGCCGGGCTGGGGGCTGTGGGGACTAAGCGCAGTGTGGCCCAGTCCCTTCTAGGCCAGCAGCACCAGGCCCTACCCGAGGCCCCAGGAGGGCAGTGAGGTCCTGGAGGCCGGGCTGGCGCCCTCACGCGCCCGGCGCCCCTCGGCGCGCTCTGTCGCTGCCCCCACCTCTTCCAGGGGCGGGGGGCGCCTGGCCGGGCAGCCACAGCCAGAGGCGGCGCCGATCGGCTCAGATTTCGGATTTGGCCTAGACCTGGCCGGGGCTCGGCCGGGCTCGCCCGCGTCTCCGGCGGAGAAGGAGGAGGAAAGCGAGCCGGAGGGGGTCCCTGCGCGGCTGGGACCCCGGCGCCCTCCGCCCAGCCCCCTCCCCCAGAGGCATCACAACAAAAGGCTGCGCCACGCAGGTCCCCCCGAGCCGCCCAACGCTCGAGGATCGCGGCTCGGCCCGGGGGTGCGCGGTGGGGAGTGGACAGGGGCCCCGCGGGCCCGCGATCGGGCGCCGGGGGCCTCGGGGCGCGGTCCCCGAGCCGGCCCAGCCTGGGCCGTGGGGGCGGGGACGCTCACCTGCGGCGGGCGTGGGCGAGCGGGCGCACCGGCGATGGACGCGGGAGGGCGGCCCGGGACGGCCAGCGGCGTGCAGACGGCGGCTTCGCCGGTCCGGCTCCACGGCCGGAATGGATTCCGGGCCAGAAGAGACAGATCGAGAGAGAAAGGGAGGAGGAGGAGGCGGCGGCCGGGGAGGGGAAGAGGAGGGAGGGAGCGCGCTAGCAGGAGGAGGGGCCCGGCAGGCAGCCGGGAGGAGGAGGAAGGAGGAAGCACGCGGACACGAATTCCCAGCCTGAGACCTGGGATAGAACCGGCACAGCTAGAGCCTCGGGTCCGAAGGGCGGGGCCCGCTAAGAAGCCACGCCCCTGGAGAGCTCCCCGCCCCCGGCCCCATACTCCCCCAGGCCAAAATACTCTCCCTCCCCTCTGTATTCCCCAGTCCACCTCTCCGACCATTGTGCAGCAGTGGAACACTCACCCCTTGCAGGCGCCATGCGAGGAGATTCAGGTTGACTTTAGGATTTAATACCACAACAACCTGGGCTAAGTGACCTGTGATTATTCCCGTTTTACAGATAGGGAAACTGAGTCATTGCCAGGGGCCACGCCTTGGACTCAGGCCTTGACCTGAGTTTCTCAAAAGTAGGAACTGGGTCAGAAGGGATACTGTGGGAGGAGCATTTATTTTCATCCATATGTCGTCATTTTAAGTGCATAAGAAAACATACTGTAGGGCCAGGGATTTAGCTCAGTGGTTTCGACGCCTGCTGTGCAAGCGCAAGGACCCGAGTTCCATCCCCGGTACCAAAAAAAAAAAAAGAAAAGAAAACATACTGTGAGTACTACTCTGCTGAGGAAGGGGATATTTAAGTAGCCAGCATGCCTCCAAGTAAATGAAGAGGCTACCTCCAGACCCAGCAGGGCAGGAAGTATAGCAGGGAAAGTACAAAGGAAGTGCTGCGCTACACAGCAGACTCCCCACTATCTCCTGGTCTGGCCTACTGGGGGTGGGTGCCCCACACTTGGCTCCTCCCCTGTTCCTCTGGCATCATGTCACAGTTAAATTAGACCCGAAGCCACAGTTAAATACCATCACCTGCTTCTGTGTCACTTCTTTGAAAGTGCTCCTGTTTCACAGATGGGAAACTGAGGCCCCGCCAGGTCAAAGTGGCACAAGCCTAGGCTTCTCCGTGAACAGCTGTCCCTATGAGGGACATCGTCCTGAGGAGCTGTGAGGGGCATCATCGTAGAATGTGAGTGACAAAAGCCTGAGGGCACAATATGCGTCCCTCCAAGTTGCCCACCAATGAGCAAAGCCTTGAGCCTGGCAGATCTGGGTTCACATCTAGGCCAGTGGTTGCCCTGCTGTGCCTTGGACAAATCCATCTGCTTCTCCAGCCCAGTCCTCTCTCAGTAAAACAGGAGTAAACTGGCCACATAAGATTCCTGGAAAGGCTAAACTGACAAGTGTGAAGGTAGCCAGGATTTCTCTTATGGTGAGACATGGAGGCCAGAGGGGGAAGGGGCTGCTGGAGGTCCCCTGAAAGTTACAGTAGAGCCAGCACTGGAAGCCAGAGGGGCTGGCGGGGCTACACGGCTTGCAAGTCTGGCTTAAAAATTAACTACCATTTCCCAGGATTCAGGGCCGCCCAGCTGGAGGAGCAGGTTCCACAGCCCTCATTCATTTCTGCCTTCGCTCCTGTGACTGTCTCAGGGCCTTTAGTGACCACATGGGACTGGGGACTGTCGGAGGCAGATGGTTAGAATTCTCCCCTGCTCACCCAACTTGCAAGAACTTATTGTGCTTATCTGTTCTCCTGAACACCACACTTAAGGATGTCACGCTGGCACGGAGGGAGTATTTACACCTTGGAAAGCTGCGAATGCTACAAATCAAGCCTTCATTCTTTCTTCCCGAAAGCTGGTTGTTAAATATTTCCCATGTATCCCTAAATCCATGTCCAGGAGTTCATTGGTTTTGGGCTTTTCTAGAGCTAGGATGATAGCTTAAAAGCACAGACTAGTGGTGACATACACCTGCGATTCCAGCCCTCGGGAGGCTGAGGCAGGAAGATCACTTTGAGCTGGAGACCAGCCTAGGTTACATAGTGAGACCTTGTCTCAAAAAAAAAAAAAAGAAGTGCAGACTGTGGGCCTATAAATCCAAGTTTAGGCCTCAACTCTGCCATTCCCAGGTATGTGGCTTGGAGCATGACATTTCTCTGAGTATATCTCCTCAGTATGCCAACCTACAAAATGGACAAAGACAGCACTTCCTCCCGAAGCCATGTGTGAGGAGGAAGCGAGGTGATATATGATATGAGTGAGCTCTTGTTCATACCCCTGCACATGGTCACATCATGGGAGAGAGGCAGTGGAGAAGCACTAGCCCTGCAGGCACAGATGTCGCCTTCCACCCAGAGCCACTGCTGGCTCTGAGTGCCTGGTTCAGACACTGAGCTACTCAGGAGGATGTGGCTAGTGCAGTGGTTTCACTATTGAGTGTTCTTGCTCTTGAAGTGCTCTTTATTTTTAACCACCCCTCTGGGCTTGCTTCAGCTGTGACCCCTGCTAGGAAAGCCCACCTCCTCTACTGCCACCTTCTCAACCCTCTGCAGCCTTGAGGGTCCTGAGTAAATGCCACCTCTTCCAGGACACGTTTCCTGACACAGCCCTGATGGAGGCACATCCCAGGTCTGTTCTGGGTGTGTCTGCCCCACCCTTCGGGTAGCAACCATGGCCTGGCCCTTGCCCAGCACAGAGCAGGTACCAACTGGTTGGCTGAGGAAAACATACAGACTTGGGATCCATAGATAAGAGTTCAAGTTCCAACTCTTCCCTCCCTGACTGTGACTCTGCCCTCTCTGGGCCTGAGTATACTCATCGTTTCCGTTAGCAGTAACAACCCCACTAACTTCCAGGATTGTACAGATGGAAGAGCTCCTGGGCTGGGCTGGTAGATGAGTGATTCTGTACATTGTTTTGCTTAAAATGTTCTGTTAGCTACATGCCTATAATCCTAGCACTCAAGAGGCTGAGGCAGGAGGATCACTAAGAGTTTGAGGCCAACCTGTGTTACCTAGTGAGTTCTAGGCCTGCCTGAACTACATAGCAAGATCCTGTCTCAAAAACCAATGACAAAAAATAATATTCTGGTAGTGAAACAGAGCCCTTTTGGTTAGATCACTCATCATTATTAACAGACAGGGCTAGGTCTGGCACAACAACAGGGACCATCTCTCACCCCAAGGAACCAGCAGATGTAGATGCTATTAATGTGGATGTTGTTGAGATGGAGAGCACTGGTGCTACACAGGCTTCTGTCTCCAGAATTCATCTCTTCTCTCTTGTCCTCCACCAGGTCAGAGCCACAAGTGACGGCAGGAGGGGAGGAGGGCACAGAAGGCCAGGCCCAACACGATTGGCAGTGGACACGTAGACCAGAGCTGTCTCATGTCGTAGGATCAGGGGCACTGGCCACATCTCACTCAGGGCCCTGGTGGCCCCAGCTCCAGCCTTGCTTATCCTTGAAATAGAGACTGGGAAGCCAGACCCATCCCAGGTTCTCTGAGAAATTCCTACCTGGCCCTGCTATTCCCCACATGGCTTGCTGTGAGTCGTCTGTTTGAAACCACCAGGCTCCGGACTCAGGACTGCACTTTATGGTTTACAAAGAGATGTCTCAACCTGCCCCAGCCAACTGCAGGCCCTGGTCCCCCTTTGTTCCAAGCCTGCTTCCTGCTATGTCTCTATGACAGAGGCTCACTCCTTCCCTGAGGCCCTTGCTCTTCTCCAGCCTCCAGTCCTTATTCACCCTCCCCACTTTAGGGTGCTAGGGATGCTGTGGTGAGTAAAGCAGGCCTGATGTCCCAGGTGCAGGAGCCAGGCGGCAAGGTGGGGAAGAGGGGGTCAGTTACCCAGGAGAGAAGGGGGCTCTGAGGAGAGGTTACAGCACAGCTGAAACACGGGCAGACTCACGCTAGTAGAGCACAACACAGTGGGTGGACTGGAGGTGGGAAGGGTGACTAGCTGTCCCAAGGATCCTGGGGCCTCTCTCTGCCTGAGGGGAAGCACAAGCAGAGGCCTCAGGCCTGGCTTCCTCCTGGTGGCAGTTGGGGCACCCTGGGCATGGCGAGCAAAGAGGTGGGGAATGTCAGTAGGCAAAGGGATTGGGACAGGGAGGGGGCAGTCAGAGGTCTCCACGGTTGTCAGAGGCAACCCAGGCTGAGGCCCAGCAGGTACCCAGCCCAGGCAGATGGTCTGGCTTCCAGGACACAGGTGGGAGGGCACAGACCTGTGCTGGAGCGTGAGGCCAAGCCTGCCTGAAGGTCTAAACCCGAGACATGGGGACGCATTCCTGGCCACATTCCAGTCAAAGAAGAGCCAGGAGCAGGTGAGCTCATCCCTCTCAGAGGCCAGCCACCAGGAGAGGTGACCAGCCTCCAGCAGGTCACTGCCCAGTCACGAGGGAAGGTGGAGCCGGGTGCTGACACACAGCTGGCATTAACCTCTGGGCATAAGCCTGCAGGACCCATGTCCTCACAGCTTCCCCTGGAGCCAGTTCACAGGTCAGAAACCTGAGGTCAAGGGTGTTTCCAGCCAGTCTGTAGACTCAAGGCCATCACACACAGAAAGGACCTGCCCTGCCCTTGTGAAATGGGAGCTAGGTGCCTCCCCAGGCCTGGATCAAGGCCAAGTGCCAGGAACTCAGAACGTATCACATCACTCCCCTCAGGACTCAGCAGTGGCCCAGAGAACAACAGATACCCCTTCCCAAGTTCACAGAGCATCACTGGTGAGCAGAGCGGCCCCCCTGCAGCCCCAGCCTCCTTCCGCTTTATCCCAGAATGTCTGTGAGAAAAGATGAAAGGAGTCAGGGCCCTTGATCTGCCTGGCCTGACCAGAGGACAGAGGGCAGGCCGGAAATCTGCAGCCAGAGCTGTGGCCCCACAAATCAGAGGGGCTTAGAAACCTGCTGAGCAGAGGAGACAATCTGGAACAAGAGGGCTCAGCAGATAATTATATAAATAACCATGGTAACAGCTCACAGGCACTGCGTATGGAGTCTTCTGTGCAGCGCCGTGTCCTAGGGCTCTCAGCGTAGCGTCTCATTCATTCTTCCCAACACTACAAGGGAGGAGACACCTCTGTCCCTGCTGTGCAGAGTAGAAAGCTGAGGCTCCAGGAGGAGACCTGGGATGGGGAGGAAGGGAGAGAGCTCTAAATCAAGCCCAAGCAGAATCCAAGCCTGGCTGGATCAGGACCCCAGCTGCCAAAGTCCTGCCTCTGCCCAGACATCCTGTGAGCCACCGCTCACATCT